ATTGTAAAGTTTGTGAGCGTTTTTTGAGCATTGCAATTCGTGAAACATTCCAACTATACAGAGTAGTTAGGCCTAACCACTTTTACTACAGTCACATCTGACACAACAAAAGTTTAAATAAAAAACAACTGCTTTCAAATAATTTTCCTAGAATTCCACTTTAGGATATACTTTAGGAAACACGTATCTTCAAATATCATAAGATACGGTATTCACTGCTGACCAACTCGAATATTTGTGGTAGGACATTCTATAAATAAGTATACCAACAGTTTTATTTTTATATCAAATACACGATCTATATTCATCTAAAATTACGACAATAAACTCGTTCGAGTGGGCCTATCTATAGTTAAGAAACACCTTAGAGGCACAGCCGTGAGGCAGGTCTCGGGGAGGCCTCTGACATGTCTTACCAACAATGAAACTCACCGACTCAGCATGTCTCAGCACTATCTAGGAATATGAACAGGGATAAAATTATAAAGATAATCAGAGAGTTCCAAAACAGGTAAAAGGAGATAGGCCTATCTTGAATAAAGGTGGTGAAAATTAATTTAATTTAATTTAATTTAATTTCAATGTTTTATTGGCGCAGAGATGTCTTAGAACATTGAAAAAACAAGAACTAGGGCTGTTGATTAGAGCCAGAACTACCTAATTGCAACAACACAGAATAAATTATCAATACAATGTTTAATTAGTCAATGAAAATCATTTAAATTTATATTAACAGGTATTCATTAAAAAAAACAAAAAAAAACAAAAAAACTTTTAATAGCAATATCATCAACTATAATTCCTCCACTACTAGAAAATACCATACAGAATAAAGTCGGAAAATAATTAATTGATGTGTAATGGGCTTATGTTTGTGTTGGTCTATAAATCTAGTTGTCGAATTGCGGATGGTGAAAACAGATATTGTAGCAACCTTTCGATCTTACTGAATATAATTGTGGTTGATTTGCCCACTTTACACACACGTCCGATTTTTCCACGACCACTAGAAAATTGGTAAAAACCCTATTAATAATTTATTCGAAAAAGGCCTGGTACAGTACAACCAGTCATTATACTACGTTTCGTTGTATCATAACTAATCTATGATTTATAGGCAATGGATAAGTACCATAACCATAAGATCTCTATTAGATTCAGAATGATTACCATAAAGCACGAATACATTGTAATTAAACTAATTCTGGCAAAAGAGTACGCTTTTCAAGAAAAAAAAAACTATACAGGGGTATATCAAGGTAAATAAGTTGCACTATTAATCTTGAGGATTAATCAGTATTAGGAACGGTTATATAAGTTTGAATTTGCCATTACAGTATTTAAATACCTTAGTTATTATTAACATGGCTAATCAGTTCCTATAGATCTTAATCGTACCGATACGCAAACATTGGTCTTCGAGTTTTTAGAACTAGATAAATAACGAAGACATAGCTTGTAGTTGAGTTACAAAAATTTTTATTTATACAAATCAAATCAATGGAATGGTTCAAGTTGGCATAACCTTGGCAACGAACTAATTCCGATTATACGCTTCAGCGAAGAAGAAAATCATGATTTGTATATTTTCTATAATTATTCCAATGACTCATTTACTTGTATAAATGAGTGTGTAACATTGTAAATGGTAACTATTTGTTCACGTGATGACAAGGAAGCTGCAGTGTAACGCTAAAACTCATTGAACAGCATATGACACGGTGATGGCGTTAAAGGCTGGGGTGGGCATTAAAGGCATGGTCCTCCTACTGTAGAGAAGCCTAGCCCTACCCAGTCAGAAAATATGGCTTATATCACACGGCAGCCAAAAACATCACCTTGCTGTACTGGCACTCCTATCTCCTTGTCGGGCGCACCAGGCCCCTTTCCTGTTGTCGAGGAAGGACTGACGCATTACTATTTCATTGTGTACAATGAAAACTCTACTTTCTACACCCCGTTCGTACATGAACACGTCAATACAAGGTACAATAATTAGGCCAAGAGAGAGTCAAACATTTTAGTCAGTATCATTAGTAGGAGACCGATAATGACTCTTAAAAAGACCTAGAAGATGTTAATGATTGCCACGGGCAACGTTCCTGCTGTTGAAAGTCCATGAACAGAAATCCATTCACACCTGGCTGATTTCTCTTTTTTCCTTTTAATAGTTTATATGGAAATTACCCTTGAAATGTGTAAGGTTCGTGTGGAGAAATTCTGATGGGGTGACATCATACATTCATATTTCAATGGATACGTATACTTCCTATTTCGATGGGGTGACGGGTGGGTCTAGCTGTGAGGGGCATACCTACCCTGAACTCAAAAACCATAGTCCTACAACATGATGATTATAATGAGTAATGAGGAGGATGAGAGACCACGAAGTTGACGACGACACCGCAGACGACGACGATGATGATAGTAATGATCATTTTAAATACAAGACAAAGGATGCTAAGAGGAAATATTAAGTGAGAATAATAATAATAATAATAATAAATGATGATGATGATGATTTTGTCGATGATGTAAATGGAGTCGATGATAATGATAATATAAAATAGATAATGGAATCTATCATGTAGCCTTCAGTATAGGCGTTCATTAATATCACATGAAGCACGTCGTAATGATATCGCCATTGATAATGCCGATATAGCACCAGTTACGTATTTCACCATTGGACTATGTGCTCATAACTAAAATGTATGTCAAATGCAACCCAAAGATGTGTCTATCGCCACCCAGAAAGCTACACTGAACACTTGTTATAATTCAACACTCTATCAACACACAACCTATAACTTGTTCCATTAAATGATAAAACAAGTAACTTGAAACGATACTATCCAGACAAACATTTAACACACAAGATAACATAGTAAAACCTTTTAAAAAGTACACAACTCCTTTTTGCTTGCAAACATGCGAGATATTAGATACTACGTATATAAACATTATAACGTACAATTATACAGTGTGTATTTATTTATATATTTATTATTTATTTTTTATTTTTTATTTATATATATATATATATATATGCCTGTGTCTATAATATAAGTCTTGCCACCAAAAATGTAGTTGGGTCTATGGTTTTGGAGTATGGCACGACAAAACCATATAAAACTCCTAGTTATGGGGCAGAGAAGAGCATTAAACAGTTTTAAATACTGATACCTGTATGTCTAGATAAGGTTAAGATTGAGATAAAATATGGACGAATAAATGCATCAATTTATTTTTAAAGAAGTTAAATAGGACTACATACCAAGATTTGTAACCGATAAATACAAAATAAAGTTAATTTTTTTTACTTACGATTCTTGAATTTTTTGAAGATAATCCTGTCAAATGTTTTAAAAATCACAAAAAAATTAATTTAAGCTTCTTGGCCAGCAAAATTGGCCAAATCGTCGTCTATGTATCTAATAATTATTGTTTTCCTTAGGAGTTTAGCCCGGAATCGTTGTTCGATTATTTCTATAGTCATAGAAAACAGCAATTTTATCTGCATACTTTCTCACTGTTCAATGCTCTTCTCTGCCCCATTTGGGCTGCGTCTTTTTACTTCCAGCTCGTATACGCTACTGAATTGTATTCATCTGGTCTGCCCGGGTTTAACGGCTGGACGTGTTCACGCTCGGGGCATTTATTGGAGTAGCGAACCTATACACACGATTTGCCGCAGGTATCGGGATTCAGTGTGCAGATCACTCCAGTTACTCATTGCTGCGCCACGAGCTCTTCGCCATGTGTTACAATATGAAGCCTTAATACATGATCACCCCAAGTTTCTTTTTCAAAAATTCCAATGAGCGGTTCAAAATCTAACAACAGTCTTTTCTTAAAAGCAGTTTCTTTTTTCTAAGTAATCAGCGGAGAAAATGATTAAATTAAGAGTATTGCTCCACGAGTGGTTAAATTGCAGTTAACTTAACAGTGTTGGGTATTAAAAGTTTAACTCGAAGGAGGTAAGAAACAACTGGACGTCTTGTGTTCTTATAACAACACGAATATAATAGGCTGGTACACGATTTTTTATTTTTTAACTATTTACAAGTATAAATCTAGGCCTACTGTACGGTATAGGTACCAGTTATTATTTACAGATAAATGAAAATGTTCTAATCTAGGTGAATGATGTAGGACAAAACATGGTTGGACATTTTAATGCAATGTTTACATTTCAGTGTAGACATAATATACGCGAATAAAATATCTGTTGCATCACGTGTTTATTATTCAAGCAAGCGCATAGGAGAAGAGATTAGTGTGTTCACACACATTGGGGCTAAGCTTTGTGTTGAATTACGTGAGTTTATGATGCAATTATGATACGACTTTCAGGGAAAATATATAAAAATAGACATAACTTTACACAGTATTTCTTTTGATTCTTTAGATTTTGGCATTTAAATGGTTTTAAATAGTAATTGAAGGAAATCGACAATACCTGTACTATTGCATAACTCCATCAGTTTATGGTATTAACATATTTCTTGTCATATACAAAAGCAGGAAATGTGAAAACCAATTTAGGCCTACTACTAGTCAAGCACTATAGAAAAAACCAATACAACTGCGTCTTTTGCAAGTACAGAAAAATAAAAACCTTAATATACAAATCAGACAAATTCGGTCGGTATATGTAGTAACTGAAAGGAAACTTCAATCTACTATATACATCATTACGAGTGATTTCACAAAGTCAATGTAGGCTATAATATACACGAGACCTGCACGCCTACTTAAACATACAACCAAACAAACCACTCTAATCATGGTGACTCGGTGAAACGACAGTTTGTTCTGTTAACAATACTCCTCTGTACTTGCCCTTCTAAATAGGTTAATTTCTGACTAGTTACAGTACATGTACTGAATTTAAATGTTTAGGTATCCAGGCTGTAACCAGGTAACTCTACCCAAGGTGCAAGGAGAATAGGAAATCTATATATAGATCATCTTTCTTGTAAATGTACAATACCTACCTTATCGTAGGACTATGTTGTCTAGTTCTTTCGATTTTTACACGGTCAAAAAATCCAAAGAGCATCGTTCTGAATATGTTGTATTTCGGGCTGCGCAAACCCACTTCTGAATATGGTCATCCCAAATGGAAAAAATACTTTGCGATCGGAAATAAATACAGGTGAGAGAATGCTTCATCACTTTAGAGCAGAGAACCAATCAGAGGCTGGCCTTTGCCAAGCATTTAGTTCATCTTATAAAAGATCTCATAAGCGATGAGGTTCACCTACGCCTTGATCAGTAAGGTTTATCATTTCAACTTCTTGTTAGTTCATCTTTTAAACGGCATCACAAGAGGTGAGGTACAAACACGCCCCGAATAGTAGTTTTATATCATTCCAACTCTTTGTATCAACCTTACTCATGAACAAACATACAAATGTAAACAATCGTAATGCATATAAAACGGAGTAAAAACGATATTGAAGAGGACGACGTCAAGTCCTTGACCCCTTGGGCAAGCCATAAAAAATGCGTAAATATTATCAATGGTCTTGTTGATATTGTTCCTGAAATTCTGTATATCCCAAAAAGCGAGCAATAGGCCTATGGTCACATCTAGACAGATAGATAGGTATAGCGCTTGAATGAAGTTGAATGGGGCCTATGAGTGTACAGCAGAGTATCTGACGGAACACACGATGCTCGTCTCAGTGAATATAAATGAATACAACAACAGAAGCCAATTTAAGCAAAACCGCAAAGACTCTATTCATAACAAGAGCCCTTGATAACAATAAAGTACCAGATTTTTTTTTTCAAATATAAAGCCGGAAGTGAAGCTGACCACTAACAAAAATCCAGAGTAGGATTTACGGGGGAAATTGTTTTGTAAGGATTGAGTGATGTCACTTTTTTTCTTTTCTTTTTTGCTGTGGATTAATTTTTATCAAATGGCCGGGAATGTTTCCTTTAAAAGAAAGAGAAAGAAATTTACTCTTAGGGGGAAATAAGAATATTTAAAGAAAAGTTCGTTTCTATTCCTCTTCCTTATCTTTTTGTGGGAATTACCTTTTCCAAAAATCCAAAGAAATGCAAACATCCTCGTAAACAATTAAGACTACGTACCCATGAGTGCGCAAGAAACGTGTGGGAATAAAACAGACCTCATTCTTTCTTCCTCGGACAAGAATCAAATTTTATTTTTAGTTTGGCCCTACAACAAAATACCGCATTACCACGACGTGCTAAGTACTAAAAACTTGACTTAAAAGTGCAATCCTTTCAATTACTATTCATCCGTACCAGATTGTTCTTTTATTTGATGGCAAAGATGAAAAAGTATCTTGATACGTCACTACTGACAATGAAATCACTGATGCGTAACTAGTTATTCTTTCACCATTAACCTGGGTGCGTAGGCCTTATAAGTTTTTGCTTACGTGATTTTAACACTATTGTATCGAATAATTATAATGAGCAGTTATTTTTGAGATTTTCAATATTATAGTTGGCAATTATTTTATAAAATTTCTTCTAACTAAAGTTTCTATGGCATCATAAAATAAAATGTTGCGAACTCAATTCCAGTGATATGTTGAAAGTTCGGCCGTGTCACATAGGCCTACAGGCAATCGTAAATCAAATAACGTTAGTAAAGTATCGGTAGGTTCTATTGGATCAATCGTCGGCCTATTGCAAATGAACTAGCAATCAATCATCTGGTCGGTCAATCAATCAATCATCTGGTCGGTCAATCAATCAATCAATAAATCAATCAATCAATCAATCATTAAACCAACAACAAACCAATACCGTAACTTAATCAATCAATCAGTTAATCAATCATTCACTCACTCAAATCACCAATCAATCAATTAATCAATCAATCGATCGATCAAACAACCATCATCATTATTATTATCAAGCAATCATTCAACCAACCAAGGAATTAACCAACAAATAGATCAATAAATCAATCGACCGATTCAACGATCGATCGATCAATCAATCAATCAATCAATTCAACTATTTAGAATGCACCGATTATTAATAATTAATATTAATAATTGTTAATAAGTATCGTTATTATTATTTTATTATCATTATTATTATTATCATTATTGCTGTTTTTACGTGCTAATGGCTGGGAATACCTTCTATCATTAGAATTTTCTCAAAAGGCAGACGTACCGTAGTATATTAACGACACACCACACACAAGCATCCTTAATACTACTGTTTCATGGAATAAATGTATCGTCAATGAATAATTTAATTCAAACACAGACACATCGCATCATTCACTGTGGCCTGGAAAGACTTGGCGTTACGATGTGTTCCACGTGCGATCGAATATCGATCGTTTCCACATGAAAAAATTGACACGCGTTCATGGCCATATGGTTAGGACCAGTTACCTAGTTTTCAAGTAAAAAATGATATATTTCGAGGAATTACAATGCGAGAGGCCTTGGCTGAAGATTTCTCTTCACTACTTTACCCTGAAATTCAACTTTGACAGGTCACTACTTGTCGTGTCTGTGTTTTACTGGTTGATTAATTTAATGGTTGTGGAAAAATGTTTTAATGAAAGCGATGTAAAAAATATCTACCTGTTTGATGAAGCACCGTGCTCAAGTACTTATAAAGGCCTGCACAGCATCTATGTTTATTAAATTTTATATGTCATTAGTATCTCACAATTTCTACTCTATTAACCGGTTAATAGACCTTTCCGGAGTGTCAATCAAACTTAACAACTGACTAATCAGAACAGCGCTAGGAATACGCGCGCGTCTCACAAACACACGTGTTGTCCCACAAACGCACGTGTTCGCCTATGTTTTAACACTGTCGCCTTGTAGGACCTTAGCAACAATATCCAAGGGGCGGGGCTTAGCGGAAAGGTCCACTGAATTTACTAAGAGTTCGTTTTAAAGGCTCCAGGATGAATAGGCCTATAAATTATAATTACGTTACAATACATTTATTATATTTTGTTTGCATTCATGTTTTTCTTTTCTTTTTTTTTTGTAATTTTGTTATCTCGAAATTAGAAATCGAAGCTGAGTGATTAAATAATCAATAGACCATTTTAAACAATAGAAAATTAGACATTATTGATAATATCAAGGCCTATTCAGATTTTAAAAGACTATAAAACAAAAACATATAAAGAAATAAAAACGATAACAACAGTGTTAGTGTATCGGTTCTCCCAAACAAAAGCACAATTCTACCTACTGTATCTTCAGACCCGGATTTTTTTTATTTCTAGGTAACATCATATCCACATTCTACCCCAAAAAAGGTCATGTGTGGCTAGACACACGTTGCGTTTCCTGTAATCGAGTTACGATCGCGACGATATAAAACAATAAGGAGAAAAACGAGGCACGACGACCGTTACCTTAATGGTTGGAAAGAAAAATGACATTATATTTATATTTATGACATTATATTTCATGTTTATCCAACTGTTTAGAAAATGTTACAATTTCAATTCGAACATTCCGATTCCCTGAGGGAGCCAAATATACTGGTTAATGGTTTCGACGGTCCCATAATTGCGGAGTTTAAGAGTTTCGACATTTTCCAACAATCATGTATTTTTAGTAAAAATAAAAATTGATAAATCGTCATTTCCAAAATTGTTTATTTCTTATAACAACGTAATTATATGTAAAAAATATTTACACACAGGGATATAACATTTATTACCAGGAATGAACCCGTTAAATGTTTCCTTGGAGAGTAACAACCAGGCACGATGACTGGGGGGGGGGGGTGTTGGGGTGTGGCATCCAGCCTTGCATAACATTCCAACGTTCACAGTCCTCATATTTATTATAAATTGCCTTTTTGAACTCTGTCGTTTCGAAAACTGAAAAGTCGAAGTTGATTTTAAACCGGGTCTAATGTTTTTAGCACAACCAAGTTATTACAACCATCATCACTTCATAAGCTACTAATAGTAGGCCTCACCGATCATTCCCCTTGCATTAATCAATCACACGCGCGCTTACCACGACAACGTATGGATATAGCTCACAGGCGAAAATTCTTTAATAATGACGACAAGCGTTTTCAACACTGTATCTCAACCGAGCTTACACAATATACGGTACGTTACTAGATCCAAAAGAAAAAATAACGGCGCATAATATCAACTGTTATAGACGGATGTAAAAAGATATTCCGGACGCTAAAAATATGTTCGTCCTAAAGTCAACAGTTGAGCTTTGACAACGTGTAGATATTTATTATGTTTAGAGAAAGGTTCACATGGATCTTCGTTCATAATATTTTTAGTTTGGAGTATTAACACGCTTGTTTTCGCGGAAATCGATCAACATCACTGTGTTTATATAGCCATAGGCCCACCTCAAATATTTGTACATGATATAGGCCTAATCATAGTACTTATTTCGGATAATAGCAATAATGATAATAATAAGACACAAGATACAAGAAATTTTATTATTCTTCATATAAAAACATACAAAGAAATTTTGGTTGTACAGCTTTTCGATCATAAACATTTAAAAAGGACAAAGTTTAAATTGCAAAAACCATAAAGTGCACCAAAAACCGCAAGACCAGTAAAATGAGTACATATTAAAACTCGTAAAAACAACTGCAATCTAAGGTTAAAATAGTTAAAATTCAGTGTTAAAAAAGAGGGTGGGTGGGGGGAGGGTGTAAAATTACGTTTAAAATGGTTAAAAATTAGTTTAGAATAATAACTTTAGAGTTATGTAGGCCTATGTGAATAGAGTTTGACATAAATTCGTTTCTGTAACGACATCGCAGTGTACGTGGTGGACACAGTTGGATTCCAAATCTGTTCAAGATGCAACAACTGTGTAGGGGATGTGTTTAGGATTCATAATTTCATGTGTTTTAAGAGAAACACGTTTTTCATAAAATTCAGAGAGTGGTGTGACATTAGATTTTGTTATACGTTAAAGCACATAACACTTCCTATCATTGCTTGAAAAATAGCATAATTATTTTGCTGTCTACAGTATTCGCAGTTCTTTTTGTTTTCTTAAAAAATTAATTCTCTGATATTGGGAAATAATAGGCCTAATAATAACAATATTATTAGGCCTAATAATAATAATAGCAACAACATCAACCACCACCAATAATAATAATAATATTAATATAGCTAATAATAATAATAACAACAACAACAACAACAACGACAACAACAATAATATAGTGCATAATAATACCTAAAATAAACACTGATTTAACTTTCACGAAAATATTATTTAAAACTTGAATTCAAAAGTTTTGTATTTGTATAAAACGGTTACAAACGGTTACATTTCTGATTTCAAAACCTTAGCGTACAATACCGACACCGTTACGGGCAAATAAAGATGTCGACTCACTCGGTAAAATTCCATTCAAGACAAAAACCAAGAAAATAGTTAACTAATAACTAAAGATATGTGATCAAACTAAGGTAAAAGGGCGTTTAAACACAATATAATGATAATAATGCAACACGATGTGATGTAAATACCAGTCACGCGCCAAGGTAAAATATCGCGAAAGGGGCTTGGTTGTTAGCTTATCCTATTTAGGCCTAAGGTAATATTGTCAATATTTACGTTGGGCTTGGGTGCACGAGCATCAACAATAATAATATGAGTGTAATCCATTTTTTCAATATTTTTAGTTCTAAT